TTGGAGGAACACGACACGGTGTTGGGATAGACTGTATCTTTCCTTTGTTGAGTATGTGGAGACTGAAATTGCTGATGGCGGTGTTGGTGATGGATAGGATTTGCGAGACAGGAAGACGCGTTAATCCGGGAGGCTGCTTGCGGTCTGAGCGCCCGTGAGCCTGTTGGTTGTGATTTTTGGATTTATGTTTGGGTAGAGGGCTGCGAGGTGTTTTGACATGGTTGTGATTTTGTTATGATTTATGGGTTACGAGGGATGTTAGCTAGATCATAAGCCATGTTTTGGCGCGACTAGGATAAATAAACTTAGATTGAATTCGGACACCTGTACCTAGGAATTACACTCTCTTCTACTTCGCGTCCTCCTGAACCCCTGGACCCTGACCCTGAACCCCCTGATCCTCGAACCTCGTACAACCTCGCTTCGGTTGTACTCCTGTACCTAGACCTCGCCTCCGAACTCTTGCCTATCCCCGCTGTGGTGTGCCTTGGGCTACCCGACCCTCAGACCTTGTCCGTTACAGGATCACATAAAACTCCTGCCGTACTCGAAAAATTAAAATCCCACCATATTCTCCCCTCCTTAATTCCCGAAGGGTGTACCAGCCTCGTACAGCCACTAGATGTGGCAATCAATAAACCTTTCAAGGAAATCATGCGCGAGCTTATGGATGAGGCAATTTTCTCAGCTGAAAGTGCGGAAACCTTTCACAAATGGAGTGTACGCGATCGCCGTATCCTAACAACTACATGTGTGGGGGATGCATACTACCGCTTTCATCTTGAGAAAGCTGACATCATCCGACGAGTCTTTCGCAAAGTAGGACTCTCACTCCCTATTGATGGGAGCTGTGACTCGGAACTTGATATCAAAGGGTTCTCTGGACTAGAGATTGGAAACTGGGCACAGGATTTAGGAGGCCTTGATGAGGAGGCTGAGATCCCAGAAACCTGGGACAATGATGAGAGTATTGACTTTATTGAGAGTGCGGAGTGATTTTGGCCTTTTTTTTTTCTTTTTTCCTTTACTCTATATATACAATATACTTCTTGAATGTTGAATTGCCTATTATACATGTAGTTTTGTGGTCGTGCAGATATAGTAACAGGGAGATGGATTGGCTGGTAGGTAGGAATATTGTGTATATATATACAGTACCTCGTCAGAAGTGTTCGTGATCTGAGACATGTTTAATTGCGGTTGCGCCATGGGACCGGTGGGGCAATGGTGGGGTTGTCAACGGCGCGCACGCGCAGTGTGAGCACGATCAATCCTCAACGATCAACTCTCAACGATCAACTCTCAAAGATCAACTCTCAACGATCAACAGTTAATTATCAATGAACTACTATTTATATTTTAGGGGAACAAAATAATAAATAAAACTAGCTAATACTTTGTATAACCACCCCTTGCTTCCAATACTGCAGCTACTCTATCAGGTATTGATTTCCACAACTTTTCAAAAAACTCCTCAGGAATTGTCTCCCAAACCAAAAGTAACACTTGTGCAAGTCTCTTCTTAACAGCTTCTTTTCCTCCTGGGGTATCTCCAATCCTTGGATACTGCTGGTGCAATCGCTTTTTAAGCTCAACCCATACATGCTCAATAGGATTTAAATCAGGAGAGTATGGGGGATGGTCCACCAATTCAATACAATTCCTCTCAAACCAAGCCATAACACTATAAGCCTTGCGAACAGGAGCATTGTCTTGCTGAAAAAAAATATCTTCAAGTTGCATACCAAAGGAAATCATTTGATGAATAACAGGAAAAAGATGTCTTCTCAAGAGCCTAACATACCTGGTCTTATTGACATTTTGAGTGATAGGAACCAAGGGACCTTTTCTCTTCCCCCAAAAGCACCCCCATACCATTAGTGAAATTCCCTTATCCTTTTCCTTTGGATGAACACAATCTGCTAGCCACTGCTCCCCAGGTTCTCTGAAAACCCACTGCTGCCTAGGATCCTTGGATTTCTCCACACTGCACTCATTACTCCAAATCACTCTCTCAAAATCCTCAGCAGTCCAATCCTTATGAGTCTTAGCCCAATCTAATCTTTTAGCAATATGCACAGGCTTGAGCTTTGGTCTTGCTTTGGCTAGCCATTTCTTGATATTGGCTTCTCTGAGTATTCTATCAACTATAAATTTGTTAGGGAATCATATCCTATCACTCAAATGAGTACAAGGAAGTGGGTATTACCAGTAGAGAGAGAAATACCCGGTGCATAATGATCCCTGAAATCTGATCTGGTCATTTTCTGGTTGGATGATTTGGCTGCTAGGATGATTGTGCGACGCTGTCGCTGGCTGACAGTTGGTGTGCGACCAGGGTGAAGTAGATTATCCAGTGATTGGCGCTCACATGCACGAGTGAGGAAGCTTTTAATAGTTGTCCATGGCCGGCCGATAATTTGAGCAACAAGAGCAATATTCCGGAGGCAGTAGAAAAATCCAATAATCATGCCTTTTTCAACATGGGTCATTTCTGTTCTGGAGGTCTTTGGAGTTCGCTTTTTTTTTTTTGATGTATATCCAGTTCGGTTAACCATTGAAAATAATTCAGGACTCGGATATGATTATTAAAATAGAGGAAGTGGTACTATCGTGGTGTAGGGCAGGTATGGTAGTTACGGTCGCGATCAACGGCGAGGTGGCATTTGACGAGGTGGCATTTGGCGAGGTTGCTTAGTAAGGCATGTTTCACGAACACTTCTGACGAGGCACTGTAGCTACAAGAGAGACAGCATTTCTAAATATTGGAATATTATGAATGGCATAGAGATAGACGACAGAAAGAGGATCAAAATAGTACTTATCCACTTCACTCGCACTCTCCAAGTTCTCCTCTGCTGTCGTTGAAATTTGAGACATTTCTCATTCATCACTGTTGATCACTCACCCTATTAGGAAAGCCAAGACCTCACTTATAGATGTCGCAATTGAATCAGGGCTTACGGAGATAGTGGATTTCACGAGATTTTACGGTAGGCAAATACAAGAAACCACACACATATCGGTATGATCTACCATAGAATAACTGGTATCTAGACCATATAGAACACTGCAGGAAATAAGGCTGACTTGGAAAGGGGAGAAACTGTTTTATAGTTTGTTTTATGTAACTGTAGGCTAAAAGAGAGAGCAAGGGGGAGCAAGGAAAAAGATCAAAAAAAGAAAAAAAAACATGGACAGGTTAAATAGGTAAAAATGAAATTCTATTATTGGCAGTTTTTTTCAGCAGCAATTATTTGTAACTTCCCTAACCTTAAAACCCAGTAAATAGCCAGTATTGGAAAACCAGCAACCCAGAAAACAGAAAGAAAAAAATCCGTAAAAAGCAATGGATATCTGATTTAAAGGCAATAGAATTTGGAAACAGAAACCAGACGTTCACTATTCAGTAGCAGTAAAATCCCCAATACAGCAAATCAAGAAATCAACAGCTCAGTCAAATGGTAAAAAAAAAAAATTCCTCCCCCAACCCAGTCCCTTCAATCATCTCCATACCTTGTCTCCAGAGTTATCTCTCTCAGTATGTCTAGACCTGCAACTTAAACCACTCTTCCCTCTGACTAGGCTCAGCAACAGGTCCAAACGCCTTGTTAAAGTTTTCCTCCAACCAGGTGCGACACGCCTTCTCAGCACTCGGATATTCCTTGCTATTGCCCCCGCCAATCCAGACCTCCTCAGCCCTTCTGTTACGTGAACTAAGCGCTTCAATCCATCTCTTCAAAAACGTTGCTCTTGGGAGCTCGTACACCTTGGTGGGTCCGGGAACCCACTCAGGATCGTGATAGTAATCTTGCCAGCTCTGTAATAGACAACATAATAGTGAAGATTAATTTGCCTCGCCAGTCCCTGGGGAAAGTTGACCACACCGCGATACGCTTCTTCAGACTTCGCAAGTTGGTTCGCAAATACATGAACGGTTCCTTTACTGGAACTGGGATTACTTGCCCTCTCCACACCAACCGCACCGTTGACCGCGACAATTTTCTCCTTTAGGGCTTTGGGGTAAAAGGGACGGAACGAGGATCAGGCTGCGTACGCGTGCCAAGTATGATAAGTACCCGTATGGTAACTCCTCTCCGCGGTATGATATCATAAAGCAGCGCGTGGCCTGCTCGGGGGCAGGTGCGGGGCGTGGGCAGTTTGACTAGTCACTCATTACATATCACTCGTGAGCCAAGACTGCTCACAAATCTCCGGTTTCGTTGATACGAGTACCGCTAATTATTTGCCGCCGCTACGAGAGATATCTACTGTGAGGTTTAGTAACCAGGTTTCGCCATCGTTGTGATAGGGGGGTCATTCTGTCCCGAACTTTAGCGGAATATGATGGCTAGTATTTGGAATGAGGTGAAGGAACTAATATGAAGGTTGAGCTGTAGGACAGTATCGGCGGAGTCACCACTCCCACCGGGTAGTACAGCCCGATAGCATTGGCTCGGAAGAGAGCGGCGAGTTGGAGACGGAAGGTAAAATATGGCGGAGAGATATGGACGGAGAATGAGGAGCATTACCACACATCTTCTTACATTGGTACATGAGCCAGAGACCCACCCTACCTATACTCTTCAGAGGTTCAACTTACTGCATGGGCAGGGCCCCCCAGAGTTCCTAATGGGCCAAGGAGCAAGGCACACCTTCGCGTATCATTCAAGTCTGATTCGTGCTACGGGGGGTCTGCTCAATCGCCCCTCGCTGTTCGCTTAAAGTATAGCGATCCGGGGGTTTTCTTGCACCCCCACTAACCCCGATAGAAAACATAACACTTTCGACCCTCCGCACTGGAACTCCCGAGTGAGAGACCATGGGCCAAGACCTTGTCCGCTGTTAATGCCACTGAAATCCAGCTCTGCATCGGGACAGAAACGGCCAACCGGACTATCTGCTACGCAGCAAAGAGACGGCAAACAGCTGCCAAAATCTGTGATAACCGCAAGTACAATAAATTTCACCCAGCAACATACCACCAACCCGCAAGCCAGCATTGTAAGAGTACAATCGTATTCAAAATAAACATCAAACGACAAAATAAGTCCTCACTCGCCTACCCTACATTTCCATCATGAGCAACAGTTCCAAATCCATGCAACCAATCAATCGCTCAATCTACCCAGATAAGAAAATATGGATTCCAACATGCACCGCATCTATGCAAAAATAAAAAATAAAAAAAACAAGGCAAGCAAACAAGTAGTAGTACTCCGACAAACATGCGACCCAGATAGATAGACAGATAATCGGATCCCGCGAACAAGCAAGTAACAAGCAAGGCATAAGCTAGTAAAGCAAGAATCAAAGTCACAATCAAGCTTTCAATCTCCGTTCCTCGCAAGATACACACACGGGTACCTCTTTTCCTTTATCGCCACGGATGAAGAAGCGGCCATCATCGAATTTGGTGGAACATTCCTATAAAGCCATTAGCACATTACGCAGATCACAGTCGGGGATCAGAACGACATACAGTGCAACAGAAGCACGTCTCATGCCACTCCGCTCCCAGGGCTTTAACTACAGTCTCGGTAATCGGCTGTCTGCATTTCTTACAACGACCACTGTAGCGTTTTTGGTAGCAGCCCACACACCAGGCGTATCCATCTTTTTCAACGAATTTGGACGAGGCGTTGAAAGACTATTACATGTTAGCACTCGCTCTGATATATTTGACGGAAAAGACACGGTCAGAACCTACATCGCCACACTCCGCACAGAAAAAGTGACCAACATGCCAGGTCCCGCCACATGCCATAACCACCTCACCCTCAATAGGTGTCTTACAGCTCTTACACCTCGGAGAGTACAACTCGTGGAAGTCTAGATGGCAGTAAAACTTGACTCTGTGGGCAGCCGCAGTAGATCCGGAAGACGTAGAACTCTTATCATCCTGGAAAGCCTCAGCACGTTTCCTGCGGCTGTCCTCGGGTTCCGGGAAGAATCCCACGTGTTCGAGGCGGGTGTGGCAATGGTCGCAACGGAAGCACTCTGGGTGGAAACGAAGGGAGGAGGCAGATACTACACGACCCTCAATTGGAGTTCTGCAGTATGCGCATGAAGCAGTAGGGCCACGGCCAGCAGAAGACGCGGAAGAGTAATTCGAGGAAGGAGGTTTCGGGAATGCACGAGGTGTAGGAAGAGGGCGCCTGGGGGCAGATGGGGTAGGAGTTGGAGGCTCTGCTGAAGACGAAGACGAAGGCGCGTCCGGGAGTGAGATGGTAGGCACTGGATGAGCCGGCCCGGTATCCTTCTTGACCTCATCACTATCCGGGAAGCTTATGGTGGGTACCAGGGGCCGGGAATTGTCTTCCGGGGCACGAATTGTGGGAATAGAAGGAGCCTTGGTGATCGTGGAGGTGGAACTCGAAGCAGTAGGCGGAGGACTATCGCTGATGACAATCCCCACAACCGGCGGCAGCGGAGGCTGCACTTGAGCTCCATACTTCTGATTATTCCTCCTAACAGCGCCAGTAGTTTCCCCACTCCCAACTCTAGGCAACGGCCTCCTCCCCAATTCCTTCAAAGCCTCCGCCTCCGCAGCATCCGTATCCTCCTCCTCGGACCCAGACATTGGTGGGGATGGCAACGGCACAGGATTAGTGGTGTACCGTGGGCTATTCTCCTGCGTTGGCTCCCGCATATGCGGTTCAACAAACTCTCTACGTGCACCCTGAATACCAGCAAACTCCTTCAATCCTGGGGCAATCTCCGGCACGACCGGAAGCCCCTTCTGCATTGGCTCGACCGAAGAAGCCTTTCCTCCAATAGTTGGCGTTGAACGTCCGGACACAGACGTCTTGTTAATCCTCAAAGGGGCAACGGCAGGCAACGGGGCAGTCGGCAACGATCTGAAATGCAAAGTCAATTCCTCCTCAATCTGTGGAGTAGCAGAGCGCGGAGGGGGATGTGTCGGTGGCATAACAACCGATGGAGGGGAAGACGGCCTGGAAAGTGCAGGCAAAGCCCAAGTCACACTCTTTTTGCGCGTGATTGTAGCGCCAGTAGAAGAGTTCGTGGATGTGGTAGAAGACTCCGAATTCGACCTCCCGTGCCCACCGCCAAACTTGGAAAAGTCTCGGAAACTAAACGAATCCCGCTTCTTCTCTGAATTACTCCTAGTAAGTGTCGGAACATGCGGAATTGGGACGTCCCCCATCCTCCCGTCCTGAAGTGATACCCCGTCCCAGCCTTTCCCTTTTTCGGCTGACGTAGGGGTTGGGGGGGTGGTTCTAAACGGGGATAAGGAAGGTGTGGAGATGGTATTGGATCTCTTGTGCGAATTTCTCCTCAGCAACCAGCCATCCCGTCGGGGCGTCTCGTTAAACGATTTGGCCGGAGAGGTGCTTGCTTTGCGGGGTGGTGTGAATCTTGAGGGAGTGGAATATGTCGACGGTTCGGATGCTGTTTCGGTCGGGTCATTGGAACTCTGGGGTGTCCATCTCGTTTTAGCTGCCGATGACAATGGACGGGCACCGCTGGGCCGCTGGGGACGGTTGGAGCGCAGATCAGAAAGGTAAGATTCTAGAGAGACGGGAGTTAGCTGGGCCATTCTAGAGCCGTGTTTGCGGTACTATTTCCGGTGGCAGAGAAAACAAAATAGTACCCAGTTGTTCCTTGGTCATGTAAGAGACACGAGCTTGGTCAGCCATGTTTTATTATGTGTATCTCAATCCCAGAATGGGGAAATTCAACAAGGTGCGAGGCTACAGCTAGATTGAGTTGTGTTTTTTTTTGTTTTGGAATGCGATGTGTGGAGATTGTACGGTGTAGGGTATAGGTGTGCGTGTATAAGTATGATAATTATTGCAGAGGCACGAGATTCTCCAGGCAAAAAGTGAATTCCGGGGAAAAATCAAAATTTTTCGACGGTTTGCAGATGAGGATGGAGTTGAACGGAGAATGGTTGGATGGAATAAGTGATGAAGTGCTTGTATGGTACTTGTGGTCAGAACAAGATGGGAGAGAGGAGGAGAGGGAGAGGGGAGAGGGGGAGAGAGGAAGGGGGGGGGGGCGGGATGAGACAGCGTATAGTTAATAATTGTAGCTCCGGGAACTAAAATTGTAGGTGCCAGCGGAGAGGAGAGGATTGATGGGAAAGTCAAGGATGGAATATTCCAGCCAACAGGAATAAAGTAAGCCTCTGATTTGTCCAGCACAGAAATGCGTTGTTTTGTTTTCGAGTGCAAGCATCTGCCGGTAGTGGGGTTGCTTAGCGCCGTTGCCAGGAGTTACCTTGCCCAAATGTTGCTTGTACGAGTACCGTACTCGGGTAAAGTACTCGTACGAGTACATACCGTACCGGCACTAGCCGATTTCAAAAGTATCCGGACACTTTAGCACTAAGACACACGATAGGATGCCAAGATGTCCGGATACTTTTGAATTCGGCTAGTACAGTACCCTGTTCTACTTATCGCTATGTCCGATGATCTGATAAACTCACATGATCAAATCACCCCTGATCTGATTAGATTCTCTTCCGTCGCGTTGACCTTTGTCTATTCCCGAGCAAACCCACCCCCAGCACTTCTACGGCATAACCATCGCCGCCTCCATCACCACTCCTCAACAGCAAACATGTCTTCCCCAGGTAATTCCCCTTTTCAACCCTGTTAAGAAAAAAAGGGAGAGAAATTCCGGGCCAACTTCTCAATTCCAATTTACTGACAAATCGAAATCAACCAGGATCCGTCCTCTCAGACATTGAAGCCTCTCCTCCATTAGCTACATCCCCCGAGCGACCGACAGGAAATAAGTTCGATCGCCTCTTTGGCTCAGACAATGAAGGCGCGCCGGCCCGTGATGAAGAGGCAGAAGCTTCCGACGACGACGACGACGAAGACATCGGGCGAAAACGCAGAAGCAGAGTAACAGACAATCTCGACGGCGTAAACGACGGGGAAGAAGAGGAAGAGGAAGAGGATGGCGATAGAGATCTATTCGGTGATGACGATGACGATGAGCCCGAGAAGTGTCTACCCTCTGCTACCTCTATGATGTCTATGTGAAAAAGAAAAAAAAAAGTTGACCGGATATCCACAGAAGGGATCTAAGTGATGCCGAATCTCACGCATCCCATGATCAAGGAAATGACGAGCAGCAAACCTTCCGCTCAATCGATGTGTCCCTTCCCCGCCACGCTTGCCCAGACCAGGTTGCCGACGACCTCTACTTAATGCGCATACCATCAACCGTGAACTTCCAACAGCAAATCTTTTACCCCGAAAACTTCACAATGCCAAAGGCGACTGAAGACTCAACCGTAAGCCCATACACAATGGCCACAACCACAATCCGCGTCCGCAAGTCCCCAGCAAACCCATCAGTCCTACAATCCAACGCGCGAGTAGTAAAGTGGTCCGACGGCTCCCTAAGTCTCCAAATCGCCTCGAGCCCAAACCTCTACGACCTGACCTCCAAGCCACTCGCCCCGCCGCAAAACTCAAAAGCATACGACGCAGCTCAGGACAGTCATACCTACCTCCTCACAACCCACGAATCCGCCGGCATGCTTCGTTTCATTGGGCACGTAAACACCCACCTCAACCTCCTGCCAACATCTACCTCCCAAGCCAACGCAGAAGCCGTAAACCGCCTCCAAGAACGCCTCTACCAAGCACAGTCTACCCGCGGGGCTCGCGGCCGTGGCACTCAAGCCCTCGAAATCTCAGAAATGCGCGACCCAGAGGCCGAGCGCAAGGAGGCCGAAAAGCAACACCGCGACAAGGAGAAACTCGCTAAAAAGGCTGAAGCTAAGAAAGCCCGTGCTAGTAGGAATGGCGCCGGCGCTGACGAGGATAGCAGAGCTGCGGCGAGGAGATCCTACCCACGAAATAGTCACACCACTAGGAGTAAGCGTGACTCTCCGCCTATCGGGGGCAAGGGTGGCCGGAGCAAGGAGGATGAGTATGATCTTGACGATGGCTTCTTGGAAAAGAGCGAAGATGAGGAGGATGATGAGATGGAGGAGTCTGAGGACGAAGGGGATCGCAGAAGAGGTCACGGGAAGAAGAGGACT